GCCCCACGCCCCCCCGCGCCACCAAGCCAACCAGCAGCAGAACCAATCACAGTCCCAGCACCAACAGCAGCAGCAACAGTCAACCAAACAGGAGCAGATGGTCAAAGCCCCGCCGCCACAGCTGGCTCTGTCACAGCCAATCCAGCTCACAGCCCAGGTATGAGCTGCCATTGCTTTAATCAGCATGTACCTGTTTACTGAAACACTTAAACACATATAACACAGACTACAACATCGTCTGATGAAGGAAATCCACAAATAGGTAACACAAAACTAATAAAAAGTATATGCATACGTAAACACACACACATAAGTCTGACTTCTTCCTACTCCATTCAAGCATGTACTAGGTATAAGCAAATTGATATTCGATTATGTGTAAAATTATGTGTGTTGTCATATCAACTGTTTTACATGCTTGAAAGAATAAATCAAATCAAATCAAATCTGCGATGTCTCAGCTGTCATGGTGTCATATTGCACTGCATTTCGCTGTGTTATAAGCTTTTTCTAAAATGCTACTGTCTATCTAATCAACCTCTGTACAAAACAATGAAAACCCTGTACAAACATGATTACATGACTGCTGAGGTGGTTTGCATTGTACCTATAGGCCTTTTATGTCCCAGGTGTGAAGGTTAAAAAAAAAAAAGGGTACTAAATCTGGTAGACACAGCTCCTCTGGGAAGTCGTTCGGTACTCTTGGACCACAACCAGGTTACCTATCGTCACCTTCAGCCTAGACTTTGAATAAAAATGGGGCCTCCTATCTGAGGTCACATGATGTGTCTCAGGGGGTTTTATTGCCTCTAATTTGGCATCAGCTGTGATTGAATCAGGAAAATCTTGAAAACATCTCATGTAACATGAACAAGAGAAAGCTTTTGAGTCAATAACAATGAAGATGACCTGTTTGTGCTAAATGTGAGAAAGCCATAGGATGAGCAGCTTGCTGACGTGACAGATATGCATAAATATGACTCACCAGTCACGTGTGCAGGTGTGACTGAAGAGGTGAGAGGGGACCTAGAGCTGATATAAAGACAGAGTTCACTGTTGCACTGTGTTGCATAAGATACTCTACATTCAAAAAACATGGACAAACAGTTAAAGCAGTCACTCAGAATTACTGGAAACAACTTCAGTGTCTGGGACAAACTGTTTTACTCCTATTAACTCTCACAAATGAAGATATCTTAAACCTTACTAATATTGTATAACACAGCAGCCATGCTCTTTGTTTCTGGAAACAGGTTTGTTGAACATTATCAAACAGTAAACGCACTGTATTTTATTACACAGATTACACTCAAGTAAGATAAAGACCGAATGCATTGACGCGATAGTTGGCCATTACACAACCTGTGGGTGGTAGCACAACTCATTCCATAAAAGGACATAGTACCAGCTTTGAGGTAGAGTATTCATATTGTGCTCAATGGGAAAACACCATCCAGCAGCTTAACTTGACTCACAACCTTTTTAATTTGAAATAAAAACCAGGTACAACTTGTCTCCATAGCAGAGCTTCATATAGATACATGAGGTTCAGAGTGACCTTGTAGAAAAGACCCTGTGGGAGGGTGTCAAAGATAAAAAGAGGCACGAAAATCTCTTTCCCAGTTCTTATCTTTTTGCTCTTTTCTCCTACTTTCTTCCTTCCTCTTCCCTTTCCCTGCCTTCGCCTCTTTATCCTTTGATGGTGCTTTCACGGCATCAGGATCCCTGGCTTGGAAGTGAGAAATTTTGGCTCTTTTAATCTGTCCATACCCCAAGCCTTTCTGGTCTCTCTTTAGCACGGTTGGCACAGGCTGTTTAGGCCCCTCTCCCTGTGGCCCCAGTCCTGTCCCTGGTTTCCAGCCACAACGAACCATCATCTTGTAGCTGTTACTGGAAGGGGGGAGACAGTAGTAAGGGGTGGGTGGAGGATGCCTGAGACTAAACTGATGCAGAGTGGAGGAGAGATGTGACGACAGGCTGCTGCTGAATTCACTACAACACACATCACACCACTGAGGCTGAGGGGCACTGGGGACAAGCACAAGAGGAGACACGAGGGAGAGAAGAATTATTACAGAAACAAGTGTACAGTTTTTAAAAGTCAGTGGTTCTCTGCTGAGCTGCAATGTAAGGACACCAAGCAGATGTTTTAAGATTTACACGCTGTGGAGGCCATTTAGGAAAAGGTACATTTTACAAGGAGAAAACCACTGTTTTAGTTTGGATGCAGGGCTGAAGTGGAAAGAAAAACCTGCACTGACAAACTTAACAACGTGGATGTGGATGACCAGGACACTCTTGTAAAAAGATCTTTAATCTCAGTGATGTTTTCCTGGTAAAACAGAATAAATACGGTTAAATTAATAATAATAATAATAATAATCCTACCAATTTTGGAAACCAGCACAGCAATGTCAGATATTCTCATCATGGTAATGTTTACCAACTCTCATAACCCCTACTACACGGTCTACTTCTCACTAAACGTTTAATGGAGAGTTTGGAAAATTTGACATTTTTTGAAAGAAATTTTGAAAAAATTCACTGAATGTTCCATTTATTAGATGTTTGAAGGGCCCATGTTTCTGTTTCAGTAAAGGGGAACAGTTAACATCTACTGTACAACTTATTTCAAATAGTTGATATTTGGTTTAAAGTGCATGCAGCTGAGAGTTTGCTAACCTGCTGTCCATTTGCATGTCTTTCTGTGTACTTATCCCATAGTTCTCCAACTCATCCAACACCTCATTGTGCCCCGCTGGGGAAAAATGTAAAAACAGATGACTTCAGTTTCAATGTGTGCACAAAAACAAAGATATTAATCAGTTGCTAATGAGAGCTGCATGGTTATACCTTCCCGTGCCAGGTCTTGGGCATCCCTGCCCTGTGTATCAACAACTCCAACCCAGGCTGCTCCATGCTGTAGCAGCAGCCTCACTGCAGCTCTCTGTCCCGACCAGCTTGCACACATCACAGCTGTCCAGAAAAATGTATCCTGGTGGGGAGAACACAAGCCCATGAAGAAAATAAAGACAGTAGATTTCCATTTCCTTAAACAAAAAGACAACCAACAGTAGGTTCTATACCTGGAAGTTGATGTCGACTCCCTTTGAGAGCAGCTCTTTGAGGCCAGAGATGTCCCCCTCGTGGGCACAACGCAGAAACCTAAGCCCCTGGAGCTCCATGGACCGTTCTGAGTTGCTTGCCTCTCTTCTTTGGTTGCCTTCACTTTCACCACTACTCTCTCTTTGCCCCACAAAATCAGTTTGACCCTGTTGTATCTCTACAGCCCTGGCTCGCCTCCCCATTCTTCTACCGGACTCTTGGTTCTTCTGTCTACTGTGATGAGCTCTATCATCCCTCCTGCTAACTACAGGTTGCTTTTTGTTACCTTTCATTAAATTTTCATAGAACTGCCTGGCTTCTTTACCACTAATACCACTAAGCACACTGCTTGCTTTACGGCTGGACTGTTCTCTTTCAATGCTAAAAACATCCTGCTCACTGGCAGGAGTAAAGCCTAAAGTAGCCATAAAGAATAACTGTAGCTTCAGGTAAGTTGAACCAGTTCACGGTTATTTCAGTCAGAATAAATCCGAGCAACAAACTCCTACTTTAATTAGAGAAAGCTGCAATGCTCTTGCTATAGGACAGCAAACGGGCAAGCTGAAAATTAATGCGGTTTCTCTTTTTTACTTCGCGCTGAGCCTGACATCAAATAAGTAATGAATGTCTATTGAATAATATCAAATGAAAATGGCTAGTTAACTGTGTATTAAGTGCACTTTACACTTTTATCAGACACAAATAACATCTAGCTAACGTTATTTGTTAGCGAAGTGCCATTAGCTAGCTAGCTAACGTAGCTAGCTGATGTGTAGTGATGTTATGGCACAGTGGTTTTCTGCCTGGCTAATTCTGAAACATCACTTCCCACATTATATTTAAATACAATGTACAGTGCATCCACAATGCTATCTGAATAAGACAACATCTGACACACAGTCTTTACAAGCCCTAACTAAGTGGTTAGCTAAAGCTAATTGTGAGCTACAAAGTTATTGAGCTAGCGTAAACATAGGCTAGCATCATCAGTGTCTTTTAGACAGACGAACGCTTGTTAATTTAAGGTAGCCTAATGAACTAACCTCCATAACAGTACCCAGTTCGTTTCAAACAATTATCCATGTGGAGACGTAAACAAAACCCGACTATTTTTAAATGATATATTCACGAGCTAACATTACCCTACGTCTTATTTGCGTACGGAACAACATGGCTAACGTTGCACGAGTGCTGCCACCATGCGGTAGGGGTGTTACCTTCCTCTGTTGAACTTTGAACACCACCAGCAATCAGCATGTACGAGATACAGTAACTACAAATAAATGCCAGTTTAAAAAGATCTCATTTACTTCAAATGTTACCCGAGTAAAAGTACAAAAGTACTATGTATATCTTTGGCAGTGGTGGAAGAAGTATTTAATGCATATTAAAGTATTTGAATGTTCTCTCTGGTCAACTTAAAATAAATTTTTTATTTCTTTGGTGGTGGCGAGTAGCGGAGGTCAAGTGATTTGGTTACATTTTGAACTCGGCTCATTTGTCACTCAGCATAGCTTTGAATGCCAAGTTAATAAACAAGTGTTTCACAATGCAGCATTTAAATGAAACGTGTAGGATATTATATTGTAGTGGTGGGGGCGGAGAGACACCTGGCAGGATCCCCCATAACGCCCCTCTGGGTGGTCTGTATAGACTACTGTAATTTGGATTTGGTGGGCCTTGATAGTGTTCCCTGTCTGTGTGGGTAATAAAAGAGCAACTCCCTTGAGCGCAGAAGAGGAATTTTTGGTGCCTTTGGAGCGCTTCTTCTTCTAACCCACCCAATGTTACAATTTTCAAAATTACACTGAAGCAAAGATTACATTATGCTTGCATTAAATAGGCTTGATAACACAGTTCTGGTGGAGCTGACAGAAAAAATTCATTTTCAAATAATTTATTCAAATGTGTTCATTCAGGATGAGGACAAACTAGCCCAGCACGTTTCCTCTGAGTGAGTGTTGGTTTGATTACAAACAAGGACCTATGTCCCATAAGAAGCACGGCATCAAACTGGTATCACGGTATTTGCTTTACCTACACATTTGTGATACTACAACACTGAAATATTGGTGTATATTGTTACACAAAGAAAGCAAACCCTGTCAGAGACCACATTTTGTTGACATGCCATATTGTACCCAGGGTCAAACTCCAGGCCTCTGTTTATGTGTCAGGTCGACCCTGCAGCAGGAAACCAACAGGTGTAATAATAAGCTCAACAGTGGCTCAGTTCACTTAGTCATGAGTTGTGATACACAACCCTACTTTTACCTTGATTCCCACATATCATATCTCTGTTTAGATCATTGTGTTTTATTTACTTGTAACCCTTTCTACACTTCTTTATTTCGGTTAATAAAGATTTAATTTTGTATTGTTGCGTGTTTGCTGTTTATTACATTTTATGTCCCTGCAGCACCCTCATGTGGATGGCTTGCTTTCACTGGCATTCTTTTACAGTTTGTGCTCCTAGTCCTTTATCTATTTATCATCATATTGTCATCTTGTCTCCACGTACATGAACAGACTAAGCCTTATAACATGTACACTTCTCGCTCAGTTTGAGCACAGTTTTAATATCTAGTTTTAATGTTATTGCCATAAACACTTTACTTATACTAAAATTTTCTTTCATCTTGTGGCTGTAAAATATTTGCATTCTGCATGCATTTGTCTTGGGTCTGCCTATGTCTACAAGGCTTAAACCATCAGCTTCCCTCAAGACGACTGATCACTGAATGAAACTGTGCGTTTGTTGTATTCAATAGCATGTAATTTAATTTAAGCAACCACTAAGGCTTATTTGACTGGATTCACTTCTACTTTATCATAAAACAGCCCACAGTGACAACACACTTTGATAAGAACACTTAGTGTTGAGGCACTCGATCCCTGACATGGCTGGGACTAACGGATACAATCTGGGTGTTTCTACTGCAGCACATTCATTCATTACATGATCGTTTCTCACACGCCTGAAGTTAAATAGCTCTCACACAGTCTCCTCCCATGTACTAATAGAGTGAATTTATTTATATGGCACTTTC